TTTGAAATGTCAATGTGATAACTCGGACTAGTATTCGAGTCGGATACGGGTTGGAGTGTTACAGGTCAACTATCGGTTAACCGTTAATAAATTATAATTAATTAATATATATTTTTTACAGTAGAATTAGAAATAAAATTAAAATGATTTCTCGTACTTTTTAGTTATTATGTTTATCTTATATAGGGGCATATTAAATTAAACATATATAGAAGAAATACATTATTTTAAATTATAAAATATAAATATACACATAAGATTTTAAACAGTAAAAAATGAATATAACTTGTAATATATATATTTCTATAAAATAAAATATATTTACAAATATATATATTTCTACCATCGTAAATTTTATGAAAATTTAAAAATTTTAAATTGTGTTATGTTTGAAAATATTGTAATAGGTTAACCATACGATAACCTATAACCGAACCGTTAATAACAGTAATCCGTTAGTGGTTAACCGTTTCTTAATGATTATATTATACTTAACAAAATTTAATAATCGTTATAACAATTAATCATATTGTTAAGTCTTAGCGGTACGATTAACTGACCATGAACACCCCTAATGTTTACTGTGAATTAATGGATTAATAAGTTAAATATAAATTATTATATAAAAATATTAATTGTTTTGTTAGAAAATTAAAAAGATAAATAATATAATTTATCTTATTAAACGGATAAACTTAATAAGAAAAATAACACAACAATATTGCCTAGGAGAGATAAAATAACGTGTAAGAAGGGGGAAATCCAAGTTTATGTTGTCATTAAATATTTAACATCGGTGAGAAAAATTTTAAAAAATATATGTTAATGACATTTTTGCCAAGAAAATTAGTTTGATCCCCAAAATATGAAAGAAGCAATAGATTGATGACTGGTGGAATAATTTAACCAAAAAATAATTATTCATTTAGGTCTCTTTAGTACAACTTTTGACTAAAACAAAATAAAAAGAGAAAATAACATCAGTGACAAAAAATGCCTTATAATATATGATTTTAATCAATTTTTTTTGGATTTGTCAAAATGACCAACTAAATCGCAATGCGATAGATAATTCGCAACGCGATCTCCGGTATCGAAAATCAGTTTCCAGATTCGTAACGCGAACTTTGACTATCGCATTGCGATTTCCATATTCGCGTTGCGATAGTCCAAGTTCGCGTTGCGATTTTCCAAATTCGTTGCTATAGTCGAAGTTCGCGTTGCGATTTATTCCAAATTCGTTGCGATAGTCGAAGTTCGCGTTGCGATTTATTCCAAGTTCGTTGCGATAGTCGAAGTTCGCGTTGCGATTTATTCCAAATTCGTTGCGATAGTCGAAGTTCGCGTTGCGATTTATTCCAAATTCGTTGCGATAGTCGAAGTTCGCGTTGCGATTTATTCCAAGTTCATTGCGATAGTCGAAGTTCGCGTTGCGATTTATTCCAAGTTCGTTGCGATAGTCGAAGTTCGCGTTGCGATTTATTCCAAATTCGTTGCGATAGTCCAAAATCGCAACGACTGGTGGTGTTACATTTGTTTCTTAAGAATTTTCTCTAAAAATATAGTATTCGCGCGGACGTGTCGAAGACACGTATTACCACGACCACAACCACGACCTGACCCGACCCGACCCGACCCGAGACGGACGGCGGCGGCGGCGGCGCGCGAGAGTCCCTTTTGTTCTCTATCACTCAATAAGGAAGTGGAAAAGCCAAGCCTTAAATACCATTCCCAATATTATTTCCAATACTATGTGAGATTGAGCATTACCAACACTTGTTCCCAATACTATGTGGTATTGAGCCTTAAATAGTGATATTATTTTTGAATGTTTTGCTTAAAATTGTAATAATCGCGATTAATTGTAAATTGACTTTTAATTATGACATATTTAATCGTATAATACTAATGCAATTGGTTGCTGATTAAGTTGTTTTAAGGTGCATGATTGTTAATTGTTTCCTGAATAATCACATTGTATTGGAAACAAGTGTTGGTAATGCTCAATCCCACATAGTATTGGAAACACTATTGGGAATGGTATTTAAGGTTTGGCTTTCCCACTTCCTTGTTGAGTGATAGAGAACAAGGGGGACTCTCGCGCACCGCCGCCACCGCCGTTTGTCTCGTCTCGAGTCGTGGTCGTGGTAATACGTGTCTTCGACACGTCCGCGCGAATACTATCTTTTTAGAGAAAATTCTTAAGAAACAAATGCAATATCATCAGTCGTTGCGATTTTGGACTATCGCAACGAATTTGGAATAAAGCGCAACGCGAACTTCGACTATCGCATTGCGAATCTGGAAACTGATTTGCGATACCGGAGATCGCGTTGCGAATTATCGATCGCATTGCATTTTAGTTGGTCATTTTGGCAAATCCAAAAAATTGATTAAAATCGTATATTGTAAGGCATTTTTGGTCACTGAAGTTATTTTCTCAAATAAAAAACGTAATATACTTTAAAAAAAGAATAGTTTTGTGATTAAATATGTAATTTATCTAAAATTTATTTCAATTTAAATTCAATAAATCTATTCTAATTAATTCTTTTAAAAGAATGCTATAGCAAAAAATATCATATATATATATATATATATTCTTTTTAAATAAAAATAAAACATTGTCGTATTAATTAAAATTTTGATGTCATTATCAAGTCACAGTTTAAAATATAAAAAATAGGTGGTGAACTGAAAGAAAAAAGGAAAATAGTGGGGGGTGAGCAGAGATATTCAAGTTGATCACGGCGCCGAACTGGGAAACATAGTGGCTGTCGTTGGGGTCCAATTCTTACGTATTTTTATGAACGCACAAGTTGCATGTATTTTCTTGAAGATGGAAATGTATGTGTTTTCTATATTTGTCTGTCCATTTCCCAAGATTATATCAATAGGGCCTAAAAATACACAATACCATCACGTGGTCACCATTTATTAAACTAGTTTGGAAATAACCCCAGATTCAAAATACATGGTCCAACTCCCTTATTTAAATCTCAACCTATTTCTTACGTGTCGAATACAGAGTAATGATTACTTTTACGGTAAATTACGTAGGTAGTCAATTAACTATTCTCGTAGTTTTATTTTAATAAATCAACGGGGCCGGCCTTGGGCCGAAGTAAATATGTGTCCGTTCAGGACCCACAAATTTAAAAATATTATTAGTGTAATATTTTTTTTATTTTTGATAAAAAATAAAAGAAACTATAAAATAAAATATTTTAAAAAACTATAAAATAAAATAACGGACCATAAATTTATTAAGGTATCAATTGTAATTATTGAAGTTTTATATTAATGTTAATAAATAGTTCAACTTTCCAAAAAAACCTCTAATTAAAATTTTATATTACATATTTTTTTTATTTTTTTGAATTAGGGCCTATTTTTTTAATTTTGGCCTGGGTTAAAAAATAGTCGGGGTAGGCCTTGTCATTCAACTATTTTTTTAAAAGAGTCATATTTAAAGTTACATTTTGATCACTTATTGTTAAAAAATGTGATTATCGACGTGACAAATTTTTTCAATGATGATGTAACATTATCTTATGGTGTCATGCAAGCATCATTGTTAATTTTTTAATGATAGGTAACTAAAACGTAATCAAAATGTAACTTTATATATAATTTAAGAAAATAATTACGTGATCACGACAAAATCACAAGAATAATTAAGTGGAAAATACGTACTTTATCTTATATTTTATTATCTTTTGTGTTTGTTTTATAGTTTATGTTCAGGGTTTTTATGTATCAATATTAATACCAATAATGCCTTCCCCAATGTATATATGAGACTAATATGAACGTCGAGGAAGAAATGTGAGCAAAACTTGATTTAGAGTTTTTTTAATTTCAAGTTATTTTAGTTAAATTAAAATTAGTTTTGATTTTAAGTTCAAAAAAATAATAAATTGAATTTGACTGTTTTATAATTTAGTTCTTGATTTTTTTATTTCTTTAATTCCTCTTTTATTTCAGGTCCAATTTTAGATAAATTTGAATTCCACACTCCTAAACCACTGGATCTATCTTCAATTCCACTTTTTGAAAAACCAATTTCCTATTTTTTTTTTAATTTAATCCCTAAATTTTACATTATTTTTTATTTTTTCAATAACTCGTTCATTTTAAGTCTATTTTGACCAAATTTAAATGCATGCTCCACTAACACTATAGTATACCTATATAACTTCAATTTCTATTATTAACAAAAAAATTATTTTTTTTTACAATTTAGTCATATTTTATTCAATTTAATCCTTTGATTGAATATTTTTAGTAATTTTTTATTTTCATCGATTCTTTTGACTCCTTTATACTCCAATAATTTATCTTAAAAGATCTCTTATTTAAAAATAACATTATAAATATTTTTTATAAATTTAGGTGTTATTTGATTTATTAAATAAAATTACAAGTCTTACTTGCACATGTAAAAAAGAATATGAAAAAAACTTATATGTATATCTTATATGAATAGAGATAGTCGTTAAATTGAAATCAATATGTACCATATATTATAAAAAATACAATTGCATTTGAGAAAAAAATAATAAACACGTTTCGACTTTAAAAAAAAAATCAAATAAAGTATGAATCATAAAATATGACTCTTCAACCTGACTAATTTAAATTTTTTTGACTAGACTAGATCAAATATTCACCCTTAAAAAGGAGCAAATACAAGTAATAAAAATGAGGTCAGAGGCTATTTTGCTTAATTTTAAAATTAGAAGGGACTTAGTAAGTGTTAATAGAAAATGAGTTCAAGTTTGATTTATCTAATTTAAAAAATTAATAACAAATTAAAGAAGTATTTAAATTAAAAAAATGTTTAATTTACTTAGTTTTAAAGTGAGAAAATATCAAATTCTCTTTAACCACTTATAAAAAATTGGAAAAAAAATCCATCGTTTTCAGTCTTCCCCACAACCATAAATCATATGTTTTCTTAAGTGGAAAATTTTCAAAAAATAAAAAATAAATTCCCATTTATTTCACGTTGTAATTCATGTCTATTTCAGCACACCTCACAGCTGCTTCCATGGTTATCCCCCACATAACAACTCTTCAACTTACAAGTTTCTCAAACAAACCCTTTTCTCTTGTTTTAATTTCTTTCTTCATCTTCAATCCCTTATTTTTCTTGCATGATGAACGGTTTACAAGAGTGGCCTGAACCAATAATCCGGGTTCAATCACTCTCCGAAAGTGGCATACCGATGATCCCGGATCGATACGTGAAGCCACTTTCGGACAGGCCGATCATAAACCAGCCCGAAAGCGACGACAACGGCGGTGACATCAACATTCCTCTCATCGATCTCACCGGTTTATCTGATGACAAAATCGAGCTTTCTCCAACTACGATGGACCGGATTTCTTCGGCATGTCGGGAGTGGGGTTTTTTCCAAGTCGTGAACCACGGAGTCAGCCCCGGTTTAATGGACCGAGCTCGAGAAACATGGCGGAGCTTCTTCCATTTGCCTATGGAGGTCAAGCAAGGTTATGCCAACTCACCGAAGACTTACGAAGGTTATGGCAGCAGGTTAGGGATTGAGAAAGGTGCCATTCTTGATTGGAGTGATTACTACTATCTTCACTATCTTCCTTTAACCCTCAAAGACTACAACAAATGGCCCGCTTCTCCGGATTATTGCAGGTAAACCGTCAACGATGTCAATCAAACATTTTTATTAATCTTTTATTGTCATGCATTAGTTAATTCGATTCAAATCGATTCGAGTTTTAGTATATGAATACGATTTTGATTGTTTTCGATGAATGTAGGGAAATAATTAATGAATATGGGAAGGAGTTAGTGAAGTTGGGTGGAAGATTAATGAAGGTTTTGTCTATAAACCTCGGTTTAAAAGAAGACCATCTTCAAAATGCATTTGGAGGGGACAACTTAGGGGCATGCTTAAGGGTTAATTTTTATCCAAAGTGTCCACAACCCGATCTCACACTCGGTTTGTCGTCGCACTCGGATCCCGGTGGCTTGACGATTCTCTTACCAGACCATCAAGTGCCAGGACTTCAGGTTCGGAAAGATGATCGGTGGATCACTGTCAAGCCTACTCCACACGCGTTCATTGTCAATATCGGCGATCAAGTTCAGGTGAATTTCTTTTAAATTCTTCTCTCTTCAAATTATTATGAAAACGTGTTGTGTTTTGATAGGAGAATGAACCGTATATATTCAAATGTTAGTCAAAGTATCACACATGGTGGCTTCCTGTTTGATTAATAAGTGAAATTATATATTTAATCATTCAAAATATTTGGGGCATTAAAAGAAAACAGACAAAGTGGATAGACATGATGAATTTTGAAGGCTACAAAGATTTGTGGGAATGACACAACTTTGAACATTCTAGTATGTTCAGCCTTCACTTGCCTGTTCCAAGTGTGTTAAAACTTACCACGTCTCAAATTTGTTTGTTTTTTCAATTTAGGATAAAGTAATTTTTAGTCCCTAAATTTAACATTTTTCTATTTTGGTCCTTGAATTGTATTCTCCACATTAGTTGTAAACTTGATTTTTTAGTCATTTTAATGATATCATATTTTAATTATTGCAGACAAAATAATAGGTTTAAGGGTGTTTGAAACTTAAATAATTGAAAAAAATAAAGTAAGCTTTTAACTTTTTTTCACCTGAATAAATCTTTAAATTAAACAATTAAATCATTAAGTCTTACAATCGAAAATTAAATCAGTCAATCTTTTTGACATAATTCAACAGTTAAATCTTAATTTTTTTTAAATTATTATTATTATACGGCAAATTACGCTTTTGTCACGTGAAATTTATAAATATTTTTAGATAAAAGTTCTAAAACAGCTATTGAAGTTTAAAAAAATTGTAAAATTTTATTAAATAATAAAATATTTTTAACAAAATACTAAACAATACCGTGATGCGATATGTGTCAACAGTTAATTCAAAAAAAATATTTTAATGGTCAATATTGATCAGATAAGCAAATTGATAAAATTTTGAAAAACATAAATTAATTGATGTGAAAAAAATTAAAAACTTAATTTATATTTTTTCAAAAATTTAAAAACTTCTAGACCTTTAAATTGAAAAAAATTAAAAATAGTGGATACTTTTTAGAATAGATACTATCTTGTAATCACCCAAAATTAATAAAAAAATTAATATTATAACAAAAAGAAGAAAAAAATCAAGTTCAAAGATTAAAAATATCTTTATTCCTTTAAAAAAGAATTGGCCCTTGTAATTTCTAAAATATTCATTTGTTTAAGCAATGTATTTAATTTTATCTTTAATAATTCAACAATGGGAAGCTAAAGCCAAATTTGACAATGACATGGCATTGCAGTCTCACCATGAAGTTTTCCCACTTGTATACTTTCCTCCATGTGTTTAATATATTTACATTTTCTAAAGTTAAATATTTTATTTTATTCACTATACCTTTTTTTATAAATATACATTATCAATAAACAATATCTAAGGACTCTAAATCTTAACCTATAAAGTCTAAATTTTAAATCATAAACTTTAAATATAAATCTTATAATCATAAACCCTAAATAAAACAAATTTCGTCAATAGGACTCCCATTGTAAATTCTTTTTTATCTTTAGTATATACGATAATAATTTATAATATAATCTTTTATATGATCGGTTAATAAAATATCGAATTATTAATTTTTGAATCATCTCAAATATATTTATTGATTTTTATTTCAGGTCCTAAGCAATGCAAATTATAAGAGTGTAGAGCATAGGGTGATTGTAAATTCAGGGATGGAAAGGGTATCATTGGCATTCTTTTACAACCCAAAGAGTGATATACCAATTAAACCGGTCGAGGAATTGGTTTCGGAAGAAAAACCGGCCCTCTATCCACCAATGACATTCGATGAATACCGGCTCTTCATCAGATTAAAGGGTCCTAAAGGTAAATCCCAGGTGGAGTCTCTTAAGTCTCCTAGGTGTATATGTGATTAACACTATCATTGTTACAAAATCCTATTTTATATTACCGGAAAGTAATCGGTCGGACCAGTCGAACCGATCGGTACAATTAAACAAGTCGAAAACCCCTAACTGTAACCTACTATCTTACTTAACATTGGTCAATTAAATCGGTTAAACCGGTTTTTTCCTACTGTTTCATTTCAAGTATGAGAATTACATATTGTAAATGTATTTTAAAAATAAAGATAGTTATGATCTTATATATTATATAATAAACGTATTTTTAAAATTAAAAATAATACATATTACAAGTTAGTTAAATAAGTTATTTCGATTATGAAAACTTGTAACTAAAAATTGATTGATATTAACTATCTTAACTATTTGAAAAATCAAATTGATAAAATTAATTTAATAAATTTTTTTTAATTAAATCGGTTTAAATAATATTTTTCTTGTTTTAATTTATTATTTAAATGTAGTTTTTTGGCAAATTAAATTTAGGTAGGAGCAAAAAGAAAAAAAAGAAATTATTATTTTGTAAGTGTAGTGTTGGGAACTTTTTCTTAAGGGCCCTTGTAATTGATTGGAAACTTTGGAATTGACTAATTAAACATTGTCCTACCACTAATGGTACAGCAAATCAATATCCCAAAATTTGTTACATCCTAGCAAAAGAAATTGCACGTTTTAAAAGATAAATTAGACTTAAAAAATAAAATACTAAACATATACATTCAAAGACGGAACCAGAATTAGAAAGAAATTAAATTAATTTTAAAATTAACAAAGATATGATAAGTGTTTAATTTAAAGTTAAAGAAGAACAATATATAATTTGATAAATATTCAAACTAACAAAGATAATAATTATCATATTCAAGTTATTAAAAAAATGGGAAATTTACTTTTGTGAGTGCAATCCACTCTATAAAAAACAAAGGAAACCATTATTTATCTAATTAAATATATTACTTAGAATATAATAATATATAAATATTTAGGATCATATAAAGTGCATTATATGATTACATCCACATGGGGTCAATTCTTTTGATCAAATGTGATTGAGGTTTTGAAGCTACTTTTTAGTTCACTTTTGTATCCCACTCATGTCGTTTAAACCTTTATTTTTATTTTTACTATATGAAATAAAATAAATCTTTTTTTCATAATAAACATATTTAAAATTAATATATATTTTTGAAAAATTCTACAACGCTCGTCGAGTGTAGATGAGCACCGTTAACGATGAGCATTATTAAGTTAATTTATAAAATGTTAAATTATAAAGTACTAAACGTATAATTATAAATTAGTTAAAAATCTAAACGTAATTTAATTAAAATATAATATTTATAAAACATTAGTTTTTAGGGTAAACTATATCGTTGACCACCTTACTATTTACCCTTTTACTTTAACCCCCAATTTTTTTAATTTTGTCAATCGAGTCACCTAACTATTTAAATCTTGTCAATCAAGTTACATGTCGTTAAATATTAGCGGAGGAGATGATGTGGTAGTAAAAAATTTGTATAATTACATAATTAGTCCTCATTACTTACACATTCTATTAATTTGGTCATAACTTTTAATTAATTCAATATATTTAATCCTCAATCAGATGGTGGATTGTGTCACTATGACACCATGTGATTGAAATTTTTTCTTAATATTTTTATTTAATTTAATAAAATTTTCATCCAATAAAATGGTTTCATGTATCACCAATTGAATGAATAAAAAATAATTTGAATCAATAACCGCTAACGATGGGTTCAAACGTAAGACATGAGGAGAGAAAGCAAATGCCTCAACCACTGGGTTGCACCATTCAAATAACAAACCTATCAAGACAATATATATATATATAGTTAATGACAATAAAAAAAAAGGAAAATGACCTAATAAGAACTCCAACATGGAATAATTGAATAATTGAATAATATGATATATATATATATATATACAATATTATAATTGAAATATATCGAAGAGCTTCGTTGACTTAGAATTTTCTTGATAATTGATGGCTTATCGTAGTAAGCGTTTTAACTTATGCATTGACTTGTTTATATCCTAGCTAGAGTAATAATTTTTTATTTTATTATTTATTCATTATATATTTGAATAAAATTTTAGGGGAAATTTGATTTTATTGAATTATTCTATTCTAATATAGAGTTGTTAAATAATATTAAAATTCGATCGACATTATAATATTTTAAAATATAAGATATGATACATTTTAATTCAATAAAATTAGAATAATGAAGACAATTTATTAATTTAAAATATGTAAGAAGATACATTTCAATTATAACATATTAAATTCACTTCTATTTTAATTTTTGTGTTAAATGTGATTTAAAATATAAATAAAAATATATTCATTTATTAATCAATTATATTATTTGTTTATATATATTTTATATTTTCATACTATTAATTATTCTATGTTTGAGTTATAAGGTCATTTATTACCATTAACTATATTATAAATTATATAGATTATGTTCTATATACTAAACAAATTTAGTGGTTTAACTTAGTGGATAGGGTGCTCATTTTTTAGCTTGCATCACAGGTTCAAACTCCACTAAGAGTGATTACTGATTTAATTTATTTTTCACTCATTCAATTTGTGGCACCATTTGATTGGATGAAAAAATTATTAAATAAAAAATATTTAAAAATTCCAATCACACAGTGATACATGTCACCATTAGATTGAGAATTAAATTTATTGAATTAAATAAAAGTTAGGACCAAATTAATAAAATGTGTAAGTAATGAAGATTAAATGTGTAACTATATAAATTTTTATTAACTGTCACATCATCTCCTCCATTAATATTTAATGGCATGTAGTTTGATTGACAAGATTTAAATAGTTAGGTGACCCGATTGATAAAATTGAAAAATCGGTGGTTAAAGTAAAATGAGTAAATAATTAGGTGGTCAATTGTATAGTTTACTCTAAAAACTGTTTTCTAAATATTATATTTTAATTAAATTACATTTAGATCTTTAACTAATTTATAATTATATGTTTAGTACTTTATAATTTAACTTTTATAAATTAATTTAACGGTGTTCATCCGTACTCGACCATCGTGACAAGATCATCCTATATTTTTAAAGTAATTGAGTCCAACATATTCAACACCTTGAAAAGTAACATGGGTTTGGCTCCAGAAATAATTTCTTTGAATTCGGTTCAATAATTATTGAGCCGAGCTCAAGTTATTTAGTAAGTTAGGTTATTCTTTTACTTAGATTATATAGTTCTTAAGTCTAATCATATTAGGTTATCCTTTTACTTGGATTATATAGTTCATAAGTCTAATCATACTTCCTTTTAAAATATTTTTAATGATTATTAAAAACTTCATGTTAAATTTGAGTTAAAGTATAAATAATTCAATTTAAAATTATGTTATGTGTCGATTGTAAGGTATGAGATACGAATTTCAATATGAAAAATATGAGTCTTCGTGTGGAATTTATATAAACTTAATAGTTAGCTTTTGGGATGTGGTTCTCTAAAAGTTTATATCAATTAGTATTAGAGTCAAATATTATGTCTCTTGTAATCGTACGCCACGAATGGTGAAATCAATATTACATTTAGGAATGGCAACGGGGCGGGTTTCGTTCCCCGTCCCGTCCCATTCTCCGTCGAGTTTTTTATCGGAGCGTTCCGTCGGAGATATTTTTTATTCCGTCCCTGAACCTAACCCGGAATGTTATACCGAACCCGACCCGATCCCGAAAAAAATTGAGCAGTCGTAGTTTTCATAAAAATAGAAAAAACGATCACAAAAAACTGAAAAATTAGTCTATATGATTTACCATTCAAACTACAGTCACAAATTCAAACACAATTCTAAATAATTTTCTAAACTCCAAAATAAAACACATACATAATTAAATACAAACTTGTTCCGATATTCAAATTATACAACAAAGATGCATATGTAATATTAAGTCAAATAAAATCATCCAAATCGTCGTACTATTTTTGTCACTTTTTTGGTAGCTCCTCACATTGAGAAATTTATCAATAAATCAACCAAATTTTACTTTAATAATTATAAAAGCATATTACCAAAATAGTTATATTTTTATAAACATTATTTACCTAATCCATGACATAATCATATTCAACAGAGTAACAATATGCCTCGGTCTCTTCCGAACAAGTTTCTATAAACAAAATAACATAAATTATCCTTTAACACAAATACTATTCAAAAAGGAAATGACATATAAGTTAATATAGAATATAGTGTTACCGACTTACCTAGGTTAAATATTTTGTTTGTATTATATATGATTAATATAAAATATATAAAATATTATATATATATATATATATATAATCGGGTCGGGACGGGAATACCTTGCCCCAAACCCGAAAAAATCTTCGAATTTTACCATGATACCCGACCCGATATTATTCAAACCGACTCGACCCGAACTTAACCAGATTTTAAATTTCCCCGTCGGGTTCGGTTCGTTCTACCAATCCTAATTACATGTCTGGCCGAAATTAGACAAAACAAGTACAAAGTCGGTTCACATTGGAGTCATTATAGAACGTGATGGATTGTTATATGTCAAGGTACGAGACTTGGACCACACAGAAAAGATAAGAAGCTTGTATGAACCTAGACTCTCACCTCAATAACTACCTTTTGGGGTATTCTATATCGAGTTAATCACGAAAATTAAATTTACATTAAACCATCAAATTTAATTAATCCTTATTAAACATGTTCGAATAAAACTTGGTTTTAAACTCTAAACCTCAAATTTCAAATCGAATGAACTCGAGATTGTACTATTGAGTAAATAGATCCCTGAATAATAATAATAATAATAGGAAAAAAAAGGACAAGAACTACATATGGAAGTTAATAATGGAAGGTCTAAAATCGTAATTTAACGGATTAGAAAGGTACAAGCCTTATATAGTAAGGGTGCGTTTAGTTCACGAAATATAAGATTACCAGTACGAATAAAAGATTAACAGGGAATAAGATTACTGGGAATGTTGTATTTTGTGTTTGGTTGGTTTAGTATAAATGTAAGATTACCGTATTTGGTTAAAGGAATAAAAGATTATTGAAATGTATATTTAACCAAATTGTCCTTATTATATATATATATTTTTTTAACAAGTTGAAAAATATTTATATATTTTCTTTAAAAAAATTTAAATTCATAAAATTTATATATATATTTTTTCAAAATTAAAAATATAAAAAAGTTTAATGAAAGGGTAAAATTTTATTTTAACCTCCTGAACTTCATATAAAATTTTAATTATAGATTTTTTTTTGTAAATCTAAAATAATTTAAGGATAAATTTGTAATTTAACATTCGTAAAATTTATATTATTTAATGACAGAATAATGATATTTTTAAAAGAAAAAAAATTAAGGACATTTAGTCCAAAACGTCGATAATCTAACAATACATAAGAAAAGGGAGGTAATAACATTCCCGGTAATATATTCCAAAAAATTCACTATTAATAATATAAGATTCCAGAAAATGACATTCCCGACCAATTAAACGGGAGAATATAGATTTCATTTCTATGAATATCTCACATTCCCCAAACCAAACACACCCTAAAATTTTTACATCTTGAAGGGTCAATCAAATAAGTACATTGCGTGAGAAGTGAGAGAGAGAAGAAAATGAAGATAAAGACGGAGAAAGAAAGTGGATGGGAGAGAGAGAGAGCTTTCAGGGTCCAAATGATGAGAAATCTGTGGCCCTCTTTTTACAGTCACACACCACATTCAATTCTCCAAGTCAATTCCCACGTGCTTCAACATTATCTTTTTAATATTTTTAAAAAGGTCACGTGAACAAATTCAAGCACCTTAATCATTGCATCATTGCTGACGTTAGATCGTTCAACCACAGCTCAACCAGGCCATCATGCATACATTAGGGATCATGCCAAGATTTTCTATTTTTAATCATTTCTATAGTATGATATTTTTATATAGTAACACGTGATTCACTCTTAAGAAATTATAAAAAATATAAATTTAACAATTAAGTGAATTGAAAAATTAAAGATCAAATTAAAAAAAACCAATCAAATTTAAGGATTAAAAGAAAATCATGTCAAAAGAACTATGTCGGAATTTGAAGATTTGGCTCAAAATATTTAAGTGTGAATATTTATTTTGATACTAATTAATTTCAATATAAATAAAGAATATATGTATATATTTTTCATATTCTTTTTAATGTGTGTAAATAAAACTTGTATAGTTATTTGATAAATCAAAATCATTAATATTATATAATATATTTATAATGTTATTTTTAAAGAAAGAGATTTGGAGGACAAATTATCGACGAGGGTATAAAAGTCAATGAATTGAGGATAATTTTTTTGTTGCAAAAACTTAAAGACAAATGATTAAATTGAATAAAATAAAAAATTGAGAGATTAAATTATAAATTTTAAAAAATTATTTTCAAAAAGAAAATTTGATATTCTATAGTGGCCAAGGAACATTCAATTCAAAATTGATAAAAAACATACTTAAAATAAATGAAAATTTATAGAAACAAATAAATTAGGGACCAAATCACAAAAAAATCAAATTACTTTTAACTAAAAACTAAAATAATTCGTTTTAATTTTTTCCCAGTAACTTTGTAAATTCAAACTCGACTCGAATACAAAATCCAAACCAAAATTTGTAGTCAACACAAATAGCTTGACTCAAAATTAAAAAAATGATAAATAAATTTAATCGAATTGAGTTTTGTTCATTCTTACATGTGTAATTAGAAACCGTTTATGATTTATGCATCATCCTAAGTATCCGAAACTTAAAGAAATGGGAGACAAGGAGTTAAGAATGTATTGATCTACACAAAGCCCCTAATACATAATCCATTTTTGTATGCCACTACATGTCATTCATGTAACTTAAAAGAATCTAAATATTGGGGTTGCAACAACCTGAAGATTTTACCATCAAACATCAGCTGCTAGTGCCTGGCCTTCTTTTGGATCGATGGACATTTGTAAACCTTAATCGTTTCGGCCTTGGCCAGTGTTATCTTCACACACTTTCCGTGGTACCACCGTTCACAATTGTCGCAACCGATCCAAAACTCGTCTGAATTGTATCCTCCACCACAGCTCCCACAAAAGGTATCACCCTGCTCTTCTTCACCGTCCTCATAACTTTCGTCGGCTAACTTAGGATTGCTTGTTGGTTGTCCATCGATTGATCTCTGAAAAGAAGAAAAAGACGAAACATAATCAATTGACCGTGTTAACAGTTTGAATTGCTTTCTTCATAATTGTCGTGGAACGAGGGCGAAGTGAATCCACTTTTGTGTTGTTCTGTGATTTGCTTCCACTCTCCGGTGTGGGCTTTTCTTTCACAGGCTTCCTTCCACTTACAACTTCAAAGACAGTGGGAAGATCGTTCATCATGCTAAACAAGCGCTTCCTGTTAAGTGAAGGGCACGAAACTCATCATCAATAGTTCTATAAGAATATGAGTCAGAAGCGATAGATATAGTGCAGAAGGTTGATATCATAGGACTTAAGAATGCAATAGCCAGTGCTTGGTCCCATGTGATTTTAGCGATAACATTTGAAAAGGTATATCAAAAGAAGCAACATAATCAGATCTAATGCAACAGGCAGAGCCAGCAGCAATTAACCGAGTAGAGATAAGATTTAACATATTAATGAAAATTAAAGAGGAAAAGTGTGGGGGTTGCCGGTTGTGTATTACAAAAACATTTTGGGGGCAACATGACAGCTTAGTTTGCTAAGCTTGAAGGGGATTGTTTTGTTTGATGGGGGGAGGGATGCCAGAAAAGGGTCATCTTGAAAGGCATCAATCACTCGAGATTTTTGAAAGGAGCGTTATATTTGGTAGCCGAGAACTAGAGCAATACCTACGATCATGAACCAATAAGTCAAAACAAAGAAATTGCAAATCCAGAAAAAGGCAAGCACCAGCAATACTAGTGTAGGGACAAACTCTGATACTGCTAAAGTAAAGAAACCAATCATTTAAATGCTAAGCATCTTATTTTCAATTAAATGACTAGTCATATCAGTATGTGGCATTTAATGAAATAGGGTAGTATTCGCAGATTGGTTTGGAAATGACCTTCTAGCTAGAACCCCCGAACTGAGCATACAAACGCCAGAGCAAACGGAGAAAGTGGTCTCTACTTAAAAGGATACATGAGATGGAGGATAGAAGGTATAGATCTCCCGATTTACACCACCTGATTAAATGGAAGACTCTAGATTGAAGTAAAAAGAACTGGCAAAAGATAAGAGTAAGAGGAAGACTCCGTACTCATTTCTCGTTTATGTCAAGTCAAAGAATTCATATACCAAAACTATTTTTTTAGAGCAAGAGGCCAAAGCTCAGATCGTAGGCACTATGTCGAACAAAGAGGAGAGAAAAAATGTTGCAGCTCCAGAGAAGAAATAGTCCGGAACAACGCACCTCTCATTGCAATTAAGGCGAGCACCAAAATAGAATGCGACGGACAGCAGCCAACAATCACTATGTACAGCAACCAGTGAAAGCCAGTCTTTACGATTCATCCCATCTCTAGCAAAATTAATACCCAAAGCTGGCTCGGGGAGCTCTGATGGGACTTCCTCTGCTGGTAAAGCTACCTCCCATGCCTCATTTGGGTATCCATACAAACACAAATTCTCCTTATCTTAGGAACAGAAAAATAACTGGAATCAAAACTATTAATTTCAACAAAATGCTCAACTCTATTCGATATTTGCATTTGAATAAATGTTCCATCTCTACTCAGACAGTACTTAAACGATACACGTGCAAACGAATTCGCATCTAAGAACAACAAACCGATCCGAACCAGCTCAATTTGATTCAAGTCAACTTCCTACGCTAAAATGCAAATCCTTTGCAATTAACCTAAAAACAAAGTGAAGTTAAACGTTTGAAAATCCAACAGACTATAAGGAAGTAGAAACCTTCAAACAGTTAAAGGGAAAAAATCTAGGCAAAACCAAACCGATTCGATCACCTAGAGACTACTTAGCTCGCATTAAACGCATCGGAAGAAACAGAATGTCCATCTTAAGTTTCCCGTCAACTTTCTCAGCAAAACAAACAAAAATAACTGAATAAAACGGAAACTGACCTGGATCACATTGCGAGTAGAAATCGTCTACATCTGATCGAAAACCAAACCAAAATATAAAAAGAAAAGAAACTCAAAATTAAACAAAAATAACACATTGAACAAATGAAATTAGGGTTTACAGAAAGAGGGGAAATTTACCGTATGTGAGCGTCGAGCGTTATAGTCTTTGAAGATCTCTTCAACGGTGCGAGGACTAGAAGAAGCCATTTTTTGCTCTAATAATTTCAAAGTGTAATTTTTTTTTTCAATCGACAATTCGATTCAAAGACAAAAAATTTAATTTAACATATATTTTCTAAGGAAAAGGGAAGAGCTTTTGAAGCTCAGGTGTACGGGGACAGACAAGAGAGGAGAAAAAGAAGGGAAAGGGAGAATTGTCAGTTCGGTTGGCAGAAAAATCAAAAACATAACGAAAGACATGACTGGTAGATTGGCTTTTTTTTTTAGAATATTTTCATGGAGCTTATTAAGGCCGTGTTTGGATTAGGCCCAACCCAAAATAATAAGGCCTTGTTTGGGGTATTTGGAATATGGCTTTTTCGAATATATAGAGTATTATTTTAAAATACAATACAACATGCATTTAGTGATGGCAATGGGTTGGGATAGGACGGGTTTTGGTCAATCAGATTTGATATGAAATATATATATCCTCTAACTAAATTTGAACCGATTCTAAAAATATATATCCCCACTCGACTCGATATATATATATATATATATATATATATACTCCACCCAATTCAACCTGAAAAGTATATTTCCTCGATCGACCTGAATTTTTAAAGTATAACTCTGACTCGGCCCGATCTAACCCTATATAAAAATAAGGACATAATTAATAAAAAAAACTATAGAGAGAAGTATTATAGCAATTATCCATAAACTTATATGGAAAAGTTATACTATTACTCCGAGGTCGGGTCGGGTTAGAGTTTTTTTCACCCTCTCCGAACTCAAATCGACCTTATCCCTATATAAAATCCGAATAAACCAACTTGAATCCGTTTTTTTTAAACCGACTTTATCAAATTGAATCAGATCGAAATATGTCGATTTCTAGTTAAATTAACATTCTTGCACACACTTGATACATAACAATTCTAAGTATTCAAAATTTACATAATTTATTCTTATTTAACTTCCCTTAATTAGGAATTCTTGAAGTAGTACAAGTAATTAAGGAAATTTTATTTTTCTTTAATGATCAGGATTCAAACCGTATAATTTGTATGTATGTCTAAATTTAGAGATCTAGATATATATTTTTTTAAAAAAAAGAACCTTCTCTCAATTAGTATGCCCAATTTAGATATTATAATTTTTCTTTTATTTTTTTTGACGATAAAAGTAGACAAGTGTTATATTCAAGAAAAGATCCTTGAAAAGAGATGGTACAATAAAAATAACTAAACAAGTTTTATTCAAACTAATAAAAAAGATAAGAAGATTAAAAGATTAAAAAAAACATTTGGCATATTCTGTAAATTATTTGTGAAGAGAAACCATTGAGAGAGTGTTACATATTTTAACTTTTCACTTTCTAGATTATTCTTAATAACTATCTAGATATTTATTATTAAAATAATACTAAATAGCATGGCTCTAGAAAACTAAAGTTTTACCTAATATAATTTATAAATAATTATAAAATTAACGACTAGATATTTATTATTAAAATAATACTAAATAGCATGGCTCTAGAAAACTAAAGTTTTACCTAATATAATTTATAAATAATTATAAAATTAATGACTAAGATATTTATATGTAGGCCTGTAAACGAACCGAAAGCACACGAACAGAGGTATGTTCATGTTCGTTCATTTAATAAATAGACGAACATAAACGAACACGAACATAAACGAACAAAATTTTTTTTGTTCATGTTCGTTTATTAAGGAATATAATTTGTTCATGTTCGTTCATTTAATAAATAAACGAACATAAACGAACACGAACATAAACGAACACGAACATAAATGAACACGAACATAAACGAACATAAACGTTGGAGACCCTACCTTCCATTGTTCTTTCATGAAAAATAGTCGACAATGCAAATCAACCAAATCTACAGTGATAAATAGCGTAAGAGTTGATTAGCAGTGATGAAATGTTTGAAGATATCAAATATTTCGATCGATCTTTTAAAGATATTAAATGATTCACACAACTTTAATTTAACGCTATAACATTTATCTTAGTGGTCCATGATTACATATGAACAATCATTTTCTCCTATTACACTCTTTTTCAGAAATGTCATAGAAACATTTGTTTTGTTTTCTGGTAAATTCTATATATTTTTCTCTTTACTGATGCTCGTATACTTCCGATTGTTACCTTTATATTCCCATCTATTTCTAGAAAGAAGTATGATGTTTTCTTGAGTTTTAGATGTAAAGATACCTGCAATAACTTTACATATTAACTATTAAGCCAAATAAAACAGAGAAAGAGATGAAAACAAACATGTAAAACTTCATATTGCACTATAATATAACTTGTTTTGAAGCTTTCAGCGATCGTCTCCACTCTCTAGTGAACACTAGGGTTTGGGAAAAAAAGGGGGAAATGAATATAGGTGCGAGGTGCCTCACAGGTTAACATATTGGATTTAATCTCCAAATAAAATTGGATTAATTATGGAGTTGGTCATCAGAATATCATATTAATTAATATTTTTAAGATACTTACAAATTGGTCACCAAAATTGATTTAAGAAGATTGGGTTAAACATAAATGAATGAACATAAACGAACATAATCGAACGAACATAAACGAACATAACCGAACGTTCACGAACGTAAATGAACGAACGAGACCTATGTTCATGTTCGTTCATTTAATTAAACGAACAAAAAATCTTGTTCATGTTCGTTCATTTAATAAATAAACGCACATAAACGAACTTCCCGCCGAACGGTTCATGAACGGTTCGCTGAACGTTCAGTTCATTTACAGGCCTATTTATATGTGTCAATGATCGAATAGAGACTAAATTTTGTATATAGTAGTGATGGATTTTTATCATGACAATGGTGTAAGAGATATACTAGAAGAAGATAAATGAGTTTAATATTATAATAGTGTAAGAGATATACTAGAAGTAGATAAAAGTTAATATTATACTAGAAGTAGATACACTTTTTCAGATGGAGAGGGACTAAACCGCAGAGATGTGAGATACAAAATTAATTCCGGTTCAGGTGTCATGGGAACCAATACGTCGATCGCCATGAAAGAAAATTGATTGGTTCTAAATTCACCCTCTTTCTCTTCTTCAACGTAAAATTCATCGTTCTTCAATACTGGAACTTATAAAAGAGATGAACGCAAAGGAAAATGCAGAATGGAGAAACAGGGGAGAGAGCGTGACAGCTTAATATAATAACTTTTACTCGTAGGATGGTATAAGGTACATTGTTGCAACTTGCAGAGGATAAATAACTTGTGCTCACCACGTGTCCAATATGTTACACTTTTATATTTTTAGTACTTTTTAAATATATTTATACAGTTAATAAAGTTGATCAAATTTCTTTCGCGTCTTGTACTAGGGTTTATCTTGTCCAATTCATTCGCATCTAATAAAGTTTGGTTAAAGCATTTCTTCTATTTTCTTAGGTTTCAATTACATTCCTCTAATAAATCTGAATTAAAATGAGTTTGGGTAATATTTTCTTTATCGAACTAATTATATTTTTAATCCAAATTTGATTATAAATATTAATATAATAAAATATTTAAAATATTTTTATATGAATAGTAAAATGTGTTTAGCAGAAAAATTATCTATTTAAAACGGTCTTGAACATGATTTTTTTTTAATTTGGACTATGGCCTCTCTCAGTCTTAATTTTCGAAAGATTTTTAATAAAGAATTATGAAAAAAAAAATTGATCAACTCCCATATTCTCTTGAAGCAAAGGAGGTCTCCATTTCTGTGCTGTTACCTTCTATTCCTCAACTTGTATCTGATGTTCCTTATCCTTCTGTCATCACTGTCTCACCTCCATCTTTTTCTAATTCTACTGAAGTCCCAGATTCTACTATAATTCCTATTCCTTGCTCAGACTCTTCAATTGGTTCACAGACTGTTTCTCCCCATGTTAATGCCGAAAATGCTCCTACTGTTCCTAAAAGAAGAAGAAGTCGACCTGTTAAAATCAAAAGCAAGACATCTTTTAAAGGATCCTCAAACAGATTTGAGGTCTTAAGTACAACTAATGAAGTCTCTCCCTCTTTAGATAATCTCAATAAAAAGCCCAGATCAGCTGCTCTGGGAGCAGCTTTGTTAATTAAAGACTTAAAAACTAAAAAGAATGAACTACTATACAAGTCTAAATGTGTAACTGAAAAAGTTATTGGGGGTGAATTACATTCTTCTTCTCAATGATCCTCTGCTTCTGGAATGTTAGAGGATTGAATAATCCTCGTAAACAGAATAAAATTATCCAAAAGGTTATTCTCTTCAAGGTTGATGTTCTTTGTCTTCTTGAGACCAGGGTCAAATCTGAAAATTCTGAAGCCATTCTTAACCTCAAATTCAGTAATTGGAATTCCTTCACAAATTACGATTATGCTTTAAATGGAAGGATCTGGTTTCTTTGGAAGAAAGGTTTGGATTTATCATTCTATCAAGCTTCTGCCCAAAGTATCACTGTTAAAGGTTTTCGAAATGGTGTTCCTTTTTTTATCTCTGCCATTTATGGGTACAATGATGGTTCTCAAAGAAAACAACTTTGGCAATATTTAAAAGATCTTGATGCTAATTTATGATCTTTTCCTTGGATCTTAGGGGGGATTTTAATACCTATCTCCATTCTTTTGAAAGTTCTGACAGTGAAATTATGGGTCCTTACACTACCAATGATATGAAAGACTTACAAGACACTATCCAAGATATTCTCCTTCAGGATCATCCTTTCTTTGGGCCAACTTTCACATGGAGCAATAAACAGCAAGATTTATATCTTGCTAGGAAACTTGATAGGGTCCTTGTTAATTCTTATTGGGCCAGCTCATTTCCTAAATCTTTTGTGGAATTTATTGCACCAGGGCTCTCTGATCATTGTATGGCCCTTGTTTGGTTCAACAAAGATTCCCACACTAATCACCCCAAACCTTTTAAATTTTTTAACTTTTGGACCAAGCATCCTAGGTTCCTTCCTGAAATTCAGAGCTCCTGGCAACAACCTACTCAAGGAAATCCTATGATAGTGTTTTTCCTCAAATTAAAAAATCTCAAGACTTGTTTGAGGAATTTGAACAAGGATTGTTACAGCAACATTTCTCTTAGAGTAAAGGAAA